AATTCCAAGTTACTTTCTATAAAGCATTGTTGGGATATTTGAGGAATGATTCAGGAGCTTGTGGAAGCTTGGCAGTAGTGTATGAACATCAAAAGTATGAAACATATTTTAAAAATGCTGCTCGGGCTGTTATTTCAAATGTAGTGCTTCATGTGGTGAGTTTGGTTTTTCCCTTGGAAAAATGAAGTTACAGGATTGTGTTGGTGTTTGAAATGTATTTTCCATATCGCTTTTCTACAGGCAGGATTGTCTGATTTATTCTGTACTCGTTACATTTTCTTCCTGGTATGGTCAGAATTTTTTTTCTGGATACCTGCTGGTTGGCTGCCACAGGGACTGCAAATGATGGTCTCTGGTTACAGATCCCTGTCAGGTTTTCAGCAGTGATCTGTTCTACACAATCCTTTTAGAATATTCACTCTGTATCGTCAGTCTGTATGTTTCTATGTGTTTTACAAAGCACTGGTTTGCTTAGAATTAGCAGATTGAGCTGGTCTCTGGAGCTTAGAAATGTGTCGGCATTGAAAGGCAACTTCAGCAGCATTTAGTCGCTTGATGGTGTTAACGAAGTTTAATATTAACCTTTCTGATTTGAAATGTTTTGAAGGACTCGTGGGTAACCAGCAGTGCAGGGCCATCAGTTAAAACACTTTTTCCCTGTGTTACACAAATAGGCACGCGAGTAGTGTCGCAGCCCCCGGGCGCACTGCCCCCAGTCAGAGTGCGTGTGTCTGCGTGCAGACGACAGCGATGGGGCAGTCTGGCTTGAGTCAATTCAAACATTGCGCTGCTCTGTTCCAGAATATCCTCTCTGTTTCTGTACCAAAGGGACAGGCAACTTGCTTTTCTCCATGGAAACACTGCATCTGTCTGACGGCGGTGGCGAGCAGTGGTGTGAGCAAATGTTTCTTCCTTAAATTGTCAGGTCATTGTTTCAAATGTTTTATCCGATGGAACTTTTTACTTTCAGTGTTGGCACTACCAGCCCTGAGGAAGGAGGGAGTGGTGGTGACAGCATGCTTGTCAGACACCAGCTGAGCTTGAAGAGCTGCTGTTACAGTCTTGTAGTGACTATATGGTTCCTAAGTAGAGTGACCTGAGTCTCTAACTCCCTCCCTTGTTTCCTTACCTGGCTGTGTCTTAGTTCGTTTTGGGCTACTAGCTGTCAAAAATACCGTCTTAAAAGAAACAGCAGTGGACAGCTGTTTTCTTTTTATTATAGAAATTCCTTTCTGACAGTTGAAAAACATCCTGCTTTTTTAATCCAGGGTTATGTGGTTAAATTTTATTTGTTTGTTTTTAATCTCAACTTGACAATAGACTCTGTTATCAGATTAGTAGGACTTATTTTCATAAACCAGCAGTTCTCAACTTGTTGCTCATGGATTGCTTCGATCCATGCACTACTTGTGAGGTCTGTAAAAGGTAAGTAAGGATTTGCCAGCAAACCTGCTCCAGCCTGGGCTCCTTTCTCCATGGGGCCACAGCTCCTGCCAGGAGCCTGCTCCAGTGCGGGCTGCCCGTGGAGTGACGGCCTCCTTCGGGCATCCCCCTGCTCCAGCATGGGGTTCTCCCTGGGCTGCCGGGGCGTCTCTGCTGCCCCGTCGCATGGTGGCAGGGCACAGCCGGCATCACCGTGGGCTGCGCCACGGGCTGCCAGGAAGTCTCTGCTCCCGTGCCTGGAGCACCTCGTCCCTCTCCTTCCCCACTGACCTGGGCGTCTGCAGGGCTGTTTCTCTCACATCACCCTCTTTCTACAGTTTCTTGTCCCCATTTGTATGGGATTTTTTTCCATTTCTTAAATATGTTATCCCAGAGGTGCTGCCACCATCGCTGATGGGCTCAGCCTTGGCCAGCAGCGGGTCTGCCGTGGAGCCGGCTGGCGTTGGCTCCGTCGAACATAGCGGAGGCTTCCAGCAGCTTCTCACGGAAGCCACCCCTGTTAGCCCCCCTGGTACCAGTACCTTGCCACACAAAGCCCATGCAGAAGGACAGAGAACACATCCAGACAAGCAGCTAGCTGCTCTCTTAGGAGAACTAAAATGAGGTAACTGACTTCTGGGGCCTGTTAGGAAGTGCATTTGGTGCAGTTACGTGTTTATGTTTCATGAATTCTATTAGGAAACACTACTGTGAAGGTCCTGTCTCTTTCTAGGACCGAAGGTTGCATTTTCACTGTTGCACTAAGGCAGTAATTTACCACAACGTGCTGCCTATATTTGACCAGCTTTTTGAATTAAGCTACAATTTCAGTAACACTGAAACTAGGGCGCAAGAGATTGTGTTACTGCTGGCCTAGTTGAGGGCCTCTGTGTTGAGACAAGCAAATGACACAGCAAATACATAACCCGTGACTGTGGAGAGCAAGATTAAAATATGAGTGAGTACCCCGAGCCAAGAAATGCAACGTTAGAACGTTCTAACTTGCTGTTGAGCAGAGGCTTGTTAGACATCTATTAATAAGTAATTATTTGAAACTGGCAAGATGTCATTTTGGAGGGTAATCTAGTGTTTGTTTCCTTTTAGAATTCCTATCCTTGCATGATTAGATGGATGCTACCTGTGTGGTGCTGGAATGCGCTTTGGGGGCAAAATAAGAGGTAGTATATGGCAAAGAATGGTGGAATACTGTAAGAAAGCTTCTAGGTTCCACGTTTTAGGAGGCAGTTTTTCCTTAAGGAATGTCCTTAAGGAGGACTTGCCTTTGGTCCAGATGAGTTTGTTGAATTCCCATAAATCTCTTGTTTGGCACTGGCAGAGAAGACTCTGAACTACGAGGAACTGACCTCGATACTTCTCGCATTTCTGTATTTGAGCAAGTCCTCCTTTATTATGTAGACTTGTTCCATCGGGTGGATTTCGGTGGGTTGAGGGAAGCAGTGGGGGCACGCACAGGGATCTGGCCTTGGAGGGAATAGGGCCGGCGCTGCGAGGAAGACTGGGTGGTGGCATGTGTGGAAGAGAGACAGGGAAGGCTCTTCAAGTCCTTGGCATGTACGGGTGAAGTGCAGATTTGGAAGATTTCTACAACAAAGTACTCGGATTTAGCAGGGAGGGCAGGTATGTAGTAGGAGGGGGAAAACCCCACAAAAGAGTGTTCCTGCTGCATCCAGTGACATCTTACGTGATCCACCAGTTGTTCTTCGTGTAACTGTATGCCTCGCTGTTCACGGCTTAGTCATATTTCATGTGGATCCTTCTGCTTTGATTTTAGAGCTGCCTCTGCTTTCAGGAACATGAAAGCTCCCACTTAAAACTGAATAGTAAATTGGCATACATCTTGCAAAGACAACGGAGAGCTTTTTCTCTTGGGCGGTCACAACTGCCGATGGGTGGGTGACGCACCGGTGGCAGTGCTGGACAAACGCTTGGCGATCCCACAGTGCTGCTTCCGAGTTTTCATGGAGCGTAACTTCAGTTGTAGACCAACACCATACAGCCCAGGTGCTAATTAATGCTTTTTAAAGTGCAGCATTTTTGCAGCTGCCTTAGAAAATGGCTTGAATTTGGCATGGCCGATCTCAGAACAGCAGAGGTGATGTCTCGCTTCGTTATCTAGCTTCACGCAGCCCTGTGCCTGATGCTTGCTTCCTTTTCACAGTGAATTGATTGTTAGGAGCACTCGTGCTGGCTATTAATGATACATGAGGGGTAGAACTGGTCGGCAGAGGATACGGTTGGCTTGTCTCTGCCGTGTTCTCTTCCTGTAGCGCCCCAGTCTCTCCGTCACTAGTGTTTGTTTTACCTTCAAACGTGCTGCGCGCCCGGTCTGCGAACCTGGGTGCTGCTGGCGATGGTTTGTGGAGTTTGTGCTTGGCCGGCTTTCTGCCTCGGCTTGTGTACCGCGTGGTGCCAAAACGCTGAGCAAACGCAGGGCTGTGACCTGCTTTGCCGTTCTTGTTTGTCACATTCTGAGCAAACAGTCTACTGCCGCATGTCCGCCTCTCCTTTTCTTTCCCTGTAAGGGGGACGTGGCTGTTCTGTCCGTGCCTTGTGTAGAAAGCTTAGCAAACAGCCGCGCTGCGTTCGTGCACAGCAGTTGGAGGGTGAGGGGAGAGCAGTCACAAGTTGGCTTTGAATCCGTATTTGAGGAAAACCAAAAACATTTTTCATTATAGATGAAAAAGCCTTTCTAAAGCTTGTGTCATCAGAAGGAAGATGCCTTCTGTGGCAGAAGCCTTCTGACACAGTCCCCTGAAAAGCTTATAGCTGCCGTCCGAGTCGGAGCAGCGCTCTGTCCTAGCGGCGTCGGGAAGGGTCCCTCCTCCTCTTCCCAGAGGAGCGTAGCTGGGGCACTGCGTTGGGGACTGTGAGCCAGAGCGTCTTGTCATCGGGAAGATCACAAACAGCTGAGGTGAATGTTTATTTTTCGGTTGTCATCATCTCATTCTGTTGATCGATTTTAGTTTTTCAGTTCCAGTCCCTCTTAAAAACTTTTATTGTTTTTATCCTGAATTTCCTGGTTCTATTGCTTTTTCTTTCAGTTAGTTCTCTGGTCTCGGTTTGGTTTTGCTGGGCTATTGCAACACTTGAAAAATGTGTGTGAAAACAGCAGGGTGTGCAGAGTGGTTCTATCTGTGTGTAATGTTAGTAATGCTGTGAAGAGCTTTGTTTTTCTTTCTTAAAATAGCCTTTTAGCTTAAAGCTCAGGGTGACTACAGCAGCATTTAGTGAAGTGAGCTATTTCGATATTTTTAGGTTCGGACTTAGTGTCTTTTAATAGGAAATGGCCTTCAAAAGATGAGGATTTGGAAATGCTATCCTGGAGATGCTTCTGGTTGTTATTGCAAAGCATCTTTTATCATACGTTTCATACACAGACTGTGTGTTTGTATAAATTTATTCTGCAGAAATTAAAATACTGATTTTTGTTTCCTGTCTTAATATTTTTGTATACAGGTTTCTTCCAAAGTTGGAAAAAAACGAGTCGTATATTTCTCCATGTTTGGCAAAGGATAGTTGCTACCGACTAAGAGCGTTAACACTGGTATTGCAAAAAGATGAGTATGTTAAAACCAAGTGGTCTTAAGGCTCCTTCAAAGTCCATCAAGCATGGGGGTACCTTGCTGAAAACACCTGCATCTGTTGCAGCTGGTAAGAAAGATCTAAACATCTTTAACTTCTTCCTCATTCATCTTCTAACAAAAAGTATCTTGAAAGCTATGAGCATGCCCTGTTTTTAAGATGTACAGCAGGGTAGTTTAGCTTGTACCTCTGACTTAAAAAAATGATGTGTACAACATGCAAAGAATCTGAAGTTGAAGAATGTGATCAAGCAGTTTTCCTTGAATAACCCTTGTCATGGTATAAATGATTGGTAGTTTTTGAGTAAGACTTGTAATCTTCACAAGATTTTTTGCAAAACCTACATGAAATGAATTCAGTGTCTCTGTCCTTAGATTTTTAATTACTGAAACCCAGAGATTGCAGTGTGAAAATGAGTAAGAACATTTGGAATTGTGCTCTTCCCTGTAGAAATCATGGTTTTCCAAATGCTTGTTACATTGAATCTAAGTAATGATGCTTTCTGGAATATTAATGTATTTGATGCCTGTTGCTTTCTCACTGTGTTTGATTCCAGCTCCAGCAGAAAAAGCAGCCTCCAGTGAAAAGACCTCAAGCACAACCACTGCAGATGCACATGAAGAGTTTGTGGATGATTTCAGAGTTGGGGAGCGTGTTTGGGTCAATGGAAATAAACCTGGCTTTATTCAGTTCCTTGGTGAAACACAGTTTGCTCCAGGACAGTGGGCAGGGATTGTTCTGGATGAACCAATTGGTAAGAACGATGGCTCTGTGGCTGGAGTTCGCTATTTCCAGTGTGAACCCTTGAGGGGAATATTTACAAGACCATCAAAATTGACAAGAAAAGTGCTGACAGAAGATGAAGCCAACGGTACACAGACAGCTCATGCTTCTAGGGCTACATCACCAACTTCCACATCGGCTGCTAGTGTGGTGTCTGCACTTCCCCCATCAGGAATTCCACAGAAAACTTCACCACTTGCTGCTAAGGACCATTCAACTCCATCTCAGATTAGCAATCTTACAAAAACTGCAAGCGAATCTATATCAAATCTTTCTGAAGCTGGATCACTAAAGAAGGGAGAAAGGGAGCTCAAAATTGGCGATCGAGTTCTGGTAAGATTCTTCTGCAGCCTCTGTGTCTGCTTTCCCATTGATGAACTGTACTTCTGCTAATGCCCAAAACTTGCCTAGTTCCGTGGTCAAGGTAATGTAAACTGATGCTCTAGCTTTCTTTTCCTCAAGTGTCTTCTGCAGACAAGCTCTTTGCATGCAGCTTTGCAACTGGAGGAAGATCTACACAGTACCAAGATCAAATGGTTTATTTGGCAGTTTCTCATCTGTTATGTTTTGCTGGCATTTAAAAACAATTCCGTCTCTCGCAGTGAGATTTGTACCTTGCCTTTCCGTAACTTCAAGAACCACAGTCCTGCTAAATGAAAGATGAGCTTGTGATTTCCATGCAGCGCTATCCCCCTTTCCAGGGCCTTGTCTTTAGAAAGCTAGCAGTTCAATAATTGATTGTTCCCCTGAGCAGTGATAGGCAGCAGCAGAAGTAGTCACATAATGCCGCTGATCACCCGGGAATTACGTGTTCTTTTGGTGATGTGCCACGTTACTTGGCTGCCCTTCCTAAATTTGGAACCATAAATGCTTCTGCTGATGGATCAGTTCACTCTTTTAAAAGGGAATTAAGTTTTGTTAGTTTGAACAGGTTTTTTTAATAATTACGTTGTATGCCTTTTCCACTTGGATCAGTGTAATAGAGCATGGGTCATTTCTGATAATTGCCAAGAGAGGTGGGAACCTTTGCCTTGGAACGCTCGCCTTTGCTCGAGAGGGCAGTAGGGAGCCGGCGATGCATTGTTTACGTTGTCTTCTTTAAATAAAGTCGCTGTGCCTAGCTTTTGGATATGACCAGAACCATGTTTGTGTGTCCACCAGGTCTATCGCAGACCTGGTGATCGCCACTCTAACAAATTTGATTTTGGGTGGGAATTACTTGTGTGGTCATTAAGCTGAAGAACTCTCTTACTGTTGTTTTGATACAATCTCCTTTTATTTACAGAATAACTTTTTTAATTGCCATGAGGTAGAAACAAGGACAGGAACGAATGCCCTGGCTCAGAAATTATTTCTGGGGTTACTCTAAGATCCTTGTGTAGAAAAAACCTCATGGATTCTATGGTTTGTCCTGTACTGCCCCACCAGATCATGGTTCTGCAGTGAAGGTGGATTGATACCATGATGTTTTTTAAAGTCTGTTTTCTTAAGGAAGGATCTGACTCCTCTTTCTGCGTAAAGAGATCTTAAAACATGGGGCCAAGTTGAAGAAGCGTAAAGGAGACGAAGGTGAAGTGAGGGCAGGGTTTGACTGACAGCCAGAGGTGGACTGAGATGTGTTCTCTAGGAGTGGCAATGGAAACAAAGGTTTGCTGTTTATCTCTGGCTATTTCTGTCAGAGAAGGGCCCTGTCCTCTTCCAGTCAGCGTCGGTTTTTTAACCACTTGCTTGCCTTTTTCTTAGCGATCTTTGTGAGATCTTCTGGGATGTCCTCTGCGTGGAACAATTCTCGATGCCCATGAAGGCATCGCTCTGACTCTCCTGTGTCTTGTTCGAGCAAATGACAGGAGCAGCATATCCTAACTGCCCCAGTTTGATCCAGATTCGGTTTGCTAAGTACAGCAGATTGAACTTAGTATTTCATTCTCCCGACTTCCTCTGTTTGCCTTAAGTCTTCCTGTTGAATCATCAAATTGTAGTTTGAGGTTTTGGGGCAGTTCCTGGCACAGCGTGTCAGTGATGCGTATCTGTAATTTGGGTGCCAGTAGAAGACAGGGTCCGTACAGGAATACGCATGTTATGTGGACAGGATTCTTCTCTGCTCATTTTTAATCCTTTTGGGTCCCATGCTAATTTTTTGTAGTAGATCCCACACTCTGCTGCTGTCGTGTCTGAGAATAATTCAGATGTAAATATCTTAGATTGCCAGGTTAGTGCAAATAATAGTAAACTTGGCTGAATAATCCCTCCATCTGTTAATGCATATTTTTTTTCTCTGCCACTGAACTCCTGTCCAGCACTATGGCCTGTCGAATTGAACCGTTACCTGCGGGGCTGCTGGAAACTGTCCTCAGCGCCCACACCTCGCACTGGGTGTTGTGAAGGCGCCAGGCCTGCCTGGCGCTTGCCATAGCTTGCTTAGCCGTTCCGTCCCCATCAAAGGTGCAAATGCAACTGGACTGCTTCCTCTCACTTGTTTTTTATTGATACTGACAGCAGTGACTTTTCAGTCCTGTGTTACACAAGAGGATGAGGGGCCTGTCGGCATTTTCAGTCCCACCTCAGCACAGAGCTTCCCCTCTGAGTGACAGTGCAGCATCGCAGCCATGGCACGTGCTCCAGTCTGTACCGCTGCAGAGCTCCGGCGACCGAACGCTGCGCGCAGTCATCAGTTCTTGCAGCTTGGACTGACTGCTGCCAAGTGCTTTGTGCAGGTTCCTAGTAACAGCAGTGCTGTGTGATAACTGTGGATACACGGGGAAAACAACTGCTGAGGATTGCGTCTTGAAAACGGCGAGCCTCCAGCAGTGGAGAATTACAGTTCAGAACAATGAATTCATGATAGACAAAAGCCCGTTTGGGAGTCTTATTAAAATACTTAACTGGAAAGTATGTCCTTAAGGGCACATTCCGAAATGGGTAAGGCCTAGCTGCTCAGCCAGGATTACATTCTCAGTGGACTTCAGATGTGGCTCAGCTTTCGTTGATCTTCGTGTGTGATCTTTAGGGTGTGGAGTGTTACACTGGAGTATTTCAATCTCTTAAATTTTTTCCCCTAACTTTGATTTTAAAACGCACTTAATAGGAGTTACCTTGAATTGATCTGTTCAGGGGTTGTTTTGTTTTGTTTCGGAGATTTTTTGGCAACTGGCTGGTTTGGGATGATACCTTTGACAAAAAAGGCAAAATCATACAGCTTTTTTTTTTTCTGTCCAGTCTGGGTTATCGAGAACCCAGAGGCCATTCTGACAACTGCTGAAACACCAGGGAAAGGCATTCACCAATTCACATCTCAACTCAGCTTCTTTTTAACATTACACACAAGTAAATTTGACACAAGTTTGTTGAACCTGAAGTGTCGGGTTCAGAAGGCATTTCAGGCTTGACAAACTGACATTTCCTAGCAGCTAAGCTTTGTTGGAACATTTCGGTTCCTACTGAGGTGTCGGGACTATTCCTCTGTGTGAAAAGAAGCACGAGCTGCCTCTGCGTTCTGTCAGCAAACTCCGGCATGAGATGTGCACAGCAGTGGCGCTGGGATGCGGTAGCTTAGTGAGGGGCTGTACGTGCAGCGGGATCTTGAAGGGCTGATTAAAGCTCTAGCGCGTGGTGTGTATTGGTTTGCGGGGGTAGAAAAAATGTCTTAAGTTCATTTTCTTATTCCTTTGACATCTAGTTGTTTCACCAGTCTTTTGTGCACTTAAAGTTAGAATTACCTAATGCTATGTGTCCCACATGTGGAGTCCCCCCAAGCTGCTGTGGGAGAACTGAGGTCTTTTAAAAAAAAATACAGATTTAGTAATAAAGTAAGAAAACATCTCATTAACATCAAACCAGACAGACAGGTAGGTGATGTGTCAGCTGGGTTGTGTTCCCGTGCATGCCTGCAGAAAAATACTTCAGTAGATTTGCTACAATGTTCAGCAACGACTATTTTTTTCCCCTCAATTTGAAGAAGGCATCTTCCAGGCCATTAAATTGAGATGTAAACATCAGACGAATAGCTTGTGGTAGACAGCAATGTCCGTAGGGGAAATGCAGTAATAGTGGAGAAATTCACACTGTCCTGTTTTGTTAGAAGTTCTCCTCCTTGAGACTCTGGAGGAGTCAAAGCAAATCCAACCAAGTGTAGTGAATACACGAGCTGAAATATTGTACCCCCGAACGGATGTTCCCATGCAGAAGGAGAGGCCGTTTAGGTGTCTGTAGTTTACCCCTCCTCAGAGATGGTTAGGTTAGAGCAGCACACAAGCCCTCCTTCTCTCTTGGAAAGCCCTGGTAAGAAGTCTGTCTCCCCCAAATCCCCATCTCTCTGAGCTGTATTCAGCACACGTCTACTTAATTGCTCAGTTGACTTTAAGCTGAGCAGTAATTTTCCTTTCACTAACAAGTATTTGGAAATACTTTATTTTAATACACAGAAATGTTGAAAATGTAGGCAGATAAAGTACATATTTAAAAGAACTGTGGTTTTGATATGTAACTCATTATTCAGCGTTTCATTTGTGGCATGGATGTGTAACTTTTACTAAAAAAAATAGCTAAACCAAAGACAAATTTATTAATAGCTCTGTATTAACCATCATATCTATTCTTAGCATCTGAAGTATGTTCTGGAATCTGGATATGGTTTAGTTGTTAGACTCTGGGCAGCCTGATCTCGTATCTGGGGACTGCTGTCAGGTGGGAGATGTTGGTGGGGAAATCGGCATTTCCGTCGTTGCGCTCATCCCGCCTTCACTGGTTAGCGACGGGGCATCTGTAGCTGGGTTTGCCTGCTGAAAACCGGGCTGCGCTTTCCACGTTCTGAACCTTGCATGAATAAGAATTCCTGTGCACAAAGTGATTGCTGCTTGTGCCGGTGGAAGTGGTGTCACTAGGTGCTAAGCCAGATGTGGAAAGAGTAACTGAAGACTAATTGGGTGGGAAGACAAATTACTTTCAGGCTGAGCCAGTTTGTTTCCTGTTGGAGTTACAGCCAGAGAACCTGTTTACCCGGGTATTGCAAACACTTGTGATTTCTTAAGAGCCCGATGCAAAGGTGATTTAGAAAACAAACAAACAAGCGCGAACCCTGGAACTAACCAAGCAAACAAACCCGACTTGTAGAAATAAAAGGGGGAGATCTGCTTTATCTGACAGCCGTTGCATCTACCAGAGGTTGAAGCAGCTTTGAGAGCATCTTGGGCTTTTTCCTGGCCAGACCAGATGCTATTTAAAATAAATAAAGATCTTATCAACCTAAGGGGCCTTAGCCTTCTCAAGGGATTAAAGTGCTTTCATTCATTTAACCAGTTACAGCTTCGTCCTGGGCTGCCAAATCTGATGCTTCG